CTGAGTCTGGAGGAAGAATGGAGAGGCACACACTGCAAGATGCTTGAAGTCCAGTGTGAAGTTTCCACAATCTGTGTTGTCTTGGGGAGCCATGTCATCTGCTGGTGTTGGTCCACTGTGCTTCATTAAGTCCAGGGTCAACGCAGCCGTCTACCAGGAGATTTTGGAGCACTTCATGATTCCTTCTGCAGACGAGCTTTATGGGGATGCTGACTTCATTTTCCAGCAGGACTTGGCACCTGCCCACACTGCTAAAAGCACCAAAGCCTGGTTCAATGACCGTGGGATTACTGTGCTTGATTGGCCAGCAAACTTGCCTGACCTGAACCCCATAGAGAATCTATGGGGCATTGCCAAGAGAAAGATGAGAGACATGAGACTGAACAATGAAGAAGAGCTGAAGGCCGCTATTGAAGCATCCTGGTCTTCCATAACACCTCAGCAGTGCCACAGGCTGATAGCTTCCATGTCACGCCGCATTGAGGCAGTAATTGCTGCAAAAGGGGCCCAAACCAAGTACTGAGTCCATATGCATGCTTATACTTTTCAGAGGTCCGATACTGTTCTATGTACACTCCTTGTTTTATTGATTGCATGTACTAGTCTAATTTACTGAGATTGTGGATTTGAGGTTTTCATGAGCTGTATATATTATATGAATGCACTTTGACTATAGCTGTACATAGATCACAATTTATTCTCCTAAATTATCTTAATTTAAATATATGTATATATATATATATATATATATATATATATAAATATGCATTTTCAATTAAGTTTTCAAAATGTAAAACAATGTACCAGAAAGCTTCAAGCAGGGGAATGACTCATTTTAATAATGATGCATGATCCGTATACGCTACGCCACAGCTAAACACTTACGTGCTATTTTCATTTTGTTTTTTATTAAGTTTATTATTTATACATTTGTCACAAATGACTTAAGATAAAAAAGAATGGTTTATTGCTAACTTGTAAATATTACTATTCACCTAAGACAGCATAATGATCTGATGGAATTTAATGCAAGATAAATGAGCACAGGAACTAATTTTGCTACTATTGTTCATATAAATATTAATAGAAGCAGATGATATACATTTTAATAAGATAATTAATATTCAGAATGTGAACCACCAGCTCATGTAAGAGAAACAGAATAGTTGGGTGAAGTCACAAAGCATTTATATCATACAAGAAACATTTTTCTGAAATTTAATACTGACTGGTTAGCAAAGGGTATAAATATACGTATATAAATATGAGATTTTGAAAATTGAGTCTGAAATGGCACGCATCATCATAATAACCCCATAATGATGCTAAAGTTATAAGAGTGCAATTCTTTTATAGCACAATTTACAATAAAGTACCCTGTAATATACACTGTGCGATAAACATGTGTCCTTAGAGTGTGGATTTACAGTGTTACCAATACGCTCTTTGTTATAGAACAGGATACCCATCACAAAGTAGTTGAATTCACACTATCCTAGATAAAGAGAGCATAGAGGCATATTACCAGGCCTTAGTGTGGCTGGACATAACACAGCTTACACTGATCAGCCACAACAATAAAACCACTGACAGGTGAAGTGAATAACGTTGATTGTATTGTTACAATGGCACCTGTCAAGGGGTGGGATATATTAGCCAGCAGGTGAACAGTCAATACTCTTATTTCATGTATTGGAAGGAAGAAAAATGGCCAGGTGAAAAGAAATGAGTGACTTTTATAAGAGCCAAATAGTGATGGCTAGACGACTGGTTTCGAGCATTTTCAAAACAGCATGTCTTGTGGGGTGTTTTTATATGCAGTGATTAAACCCTACCAAAAGTGGTACACGGAAGGACAACCAGTGAACCGATGTCAAGGTCTCATGCTCACCCAAAGCTTACTGATGCATTTGTGGAGTGAAGGCTAGTTTGCCTGGTTCATTAACACAGAAGAGCTGCTGTAACTAAAATTGCTGAAAAAGCTAATGCTGTCCATGATAGAAAGGTGTCAGAAAACACAATCTCAGTTTGCTCTATATGGAGCTACGTAGCTACAGACTGGTAACATTACCCATGATGACCCTTGTCCACTGCTAAAAATACTGTCAATGGGACATGAGCATCAGAACTGGATAATGGAGCAATGGCAGCAGGATGCACTATGGTAAGAAGGCAAGCTGAAGTCCATCCTGCACGTGTGAAAGAGTTTCAATAACTACTGCTATAAAGATACACATTTGTCCAGTGGATTGCTTGTTTTTGTGTACTTACTGTACTATAATTTGGCACACACGTTGAATATCACGGCATGCATTTTCAAATTGTTGAAATGTATTAAAACCTTTAATATTCAATATTCAGATCCAAAATGCCAGCAAGTTCCCTCTGCATGAGAGATACAGCAACTCCAGATGATCGTTTCAACCTTGTAAAGTATTATCAGTGAGGTATAGCCAATATCCCTCTAGGCAACGTGAGCAAAGGGGTCCACATCTGGATTTCCCTTTAAACTTAAGGAGAGAAAAATAAGAAGCAAGAGAGGTGAGAACGGACAACAGCTCAATTACCCTGCCCTTCAGTGGGTCCCTGCTCAGATCTCAAACTGGTTTTAGCTCAACTTGTTCCATTACAAAGAGAACATATCTGAAGCATATCAGACTGGTCCAACCCGTATGGGCAGTCAGGATTTGAAATGCCAGCAAGTTGGCACCTTGCTACTTGTATTTCTCTCCTTAAGTTTAAAGGGCAATCAAGACGTGGACCCCTTGCTCACGGTCTCTAGAGGGATATTGGCTATACCTCACTGATGATACCTTACAAGCACGGCTGCCATCATTAATTTTAGGGCCCCTGACACAGCTCAAGATCTGGGCCCCCGGGGCCAGCCCCGAGTCCATTCACAAGGATGAAGTGTGTGTGTGTGTGTGTGTGTATAGTGGATGTAGAATGTGTGTCAAGGATGCAGTGTGTATAGTGGATGTAGAATGTGTGTAGTGGATGTGGTATGTGTGTCATGGATGCAGTGTGTACATTTTGTGTAATGTATGTAATGTTTGTATGCATGCATTAGCTGTAGAGTGTGTGTGTGTAGTGAATGTAGGTGTGTATAGTGAATGCAGAGTGTGTGTTTTTGTAGTGGATGTAGTGTGTGTACAGTAAATGCAGAGTGTGTGTTTTTGTAGTGGATGTAGTGTGCATAGTACATGTAGTGTGTTTGTAGTGAATGTAGTGTGTTTGTAGAAAGCAGTTGTTGTTGGGGGATTCCATCATGAGAGGTGTGGAGATGGACAATGGTGGTCTTGTGAGGTGTCTTCCCGGAGCTAGTGCTCACAGAGACAGGAGACGTATCTGTAATATTGTTAAGCAAGCAAAGCAGGAAGGGGAATTGGATGTACTTGTCCATCTAGAGACAAATGACTTGGCTTGCAATGAGGTTTCAGAGGTTAAGGAAGTTTTTAGTGTTTTTGCCAATGATATACGGCAGGTTGCTTCCACACTGTCATTCTCTGAAGTTCTGCCTGTGCATAACACTCAGAACGACAGGCGGATGCGTATTAGGGACTTTAATTTGTGGCTTGGTGAATGGTGTCGGGAGCAAGGATATGGCTTTATTTCTCATGGTAGCTCTGTTTGGAATGGAAATAAGCTGTACAAAAAAGATGGTTTGCATCTTTCTCAAAGGTGAACAAGTGTTCTCAGTGAGCAGTTCAGAGGTTTTGCCAGGATGTATTTAAACTAGGAGGGGGGGCAAAAGGGTGATAAAACATCAATCCAATTGTTCCCCAAAACAAGGAAAGAAGGTGCCTGTAGCAAGTGTGTTAAAAAAATGATAAGCTTAGAGTCATGTCTACAAATGCTCGCAGTTTAGGGAAAAAGATCCATGAACTTGTGGCAATAATGACAACTGATAGTGTAGATTTAGTCGCTGTTACTGAGACATGGTATATTGAGAACAATGACTGGGGCATAGCAATACCAGGGTACTCTTTATATAGAAAAGATAGGGAAGGCAAGAAAGGGGGAGGGGTGGCCCTGTATGTGAAGGATAGCATAAAATCTAGCCTAATAAAAGTTAGTGAGGCAAACATAGAGTCCGTTTGGGTTACATTAGAATTTGGTAATCACACAGTAACTCATGTAGGTGTGATTTATAGGCTCCCAGGACAAATTGAAGAGTTAAATAATCTACTAGTTGAGGAAATAGCTAAAATGACAATGAAGGGGGAAGTTATCATCATGGGTGACTTTAATCTTCCTGATGTAAATTGGAAAACAAAATGGGGTACCGCAGGGATCTGTACTTGGACCCATTCTCTTTAATATTTTTATTAGTGATATTGCAGAAGGTCTTGATGGTAAGGTATGTCTTTTTGCTGATGATACTAAGATATGTAACAGGGTTGATGTTCCATGAGGAATAAGCCAAATGGCAAATGATTTAGGTAAACTAGAAAAATGGTCAGAATTGTGGCAACTGCCATTTAACGTGGATAAGTGCAAGATAATGCATCTTGGACGTAAAAACCCAAGGGCAGAGTACAGAATATTTGATAGAGTCCTAACCTCAACATATGAGGAATGGGATTTAGGGGTGATTATTTCTAATGACTTAAAGGTAGGCAGAAAATGTAATAGAGCAGCAGGAAATGCTAGCAGAATGCTTGGTTGTATAGGGAGAGGTATTAGCAGTAGAAAGAGAGAAGTGCTCATGCCATTGTACAGAACACTGGTGAGACCTCACTTGGAGTATTGTACACAGTACTGGAGACCGTATCTTCAGAAGGATATTGATATCTTAGAGAGGGTTCAGAGAAGGGCTACTAAACTGGTTCATGGATTGCGGGATAAAACTTACCAGGAAAGGTTAAAGGATCTTAACATGTATAGCTTGGAGGAAAGATGGGACAGGGGGGATATGATAGAAACATTTAAATATATAAAGGGAATCAACACAGTAAAAGAGGAGACCATATTTAAAAGAAGAAAAACTACCACAACAAGAGGACATAGTCTTAAATTAGTGGGACAAAGGTTTAAAAATAATATCAGGAAGTATTACTTTACTGATAGGGTAGTGGATGCATGGAATAGCCTTCCAGCTGAAGTGGTAGAGGTTAACACAGTAAAGGAGTTTAAGCATGCATGGGATAGGCATCAGGCTATTCTAACTATAAGATAAGGCTAGGGACTAATGAAAGTAGTTAGAAAATGGGCAGACTAGATGGGCCGAATGGTTCTTATCTGCCGTCACATTCTATGTTTTTATGTTTCTATATACTTACTACAGACATGCTCACTAACACACACTTACATGCTTACTACAGACATACACATATATGCTTACTACAGACATGCTCAGTGACACACACAAACATGCTTACTACAGACATGCTCACTGACACACACATGCTTATTACAAATGTGCTCACTGACACACACATACATGCTTACTGCAGACATGCTCACTGACACACACATACATGCTCACTACAGACATGCTCACTGACACACATAAATGCTTAATACAGACGATTTTGTCCGTTTGTTAGGATATTTTATATTCAGAATTTATTTTTATTATTGGGTCCCTGAAG